ATTGGTTTAAAAAGCTTAAAAATTGTTGCTGCAAAAGTGGATTTATTTTGGTGGTCAGTGTGTGTGTCTGCTTTTCTTTAGACATCAAATATAAATTCGCAGTAAACTTGTACTTGCTTTCAAAGGAGACTGGAGAAAGGGGAGACAGAGAAAGATAAATTTTAGAAAGTTAAATCAATGCATGAACTGGAGCGATGCATTAAACAAAATGGTGAAAGTTCTCTGATGATCAGTTTCTGTCATAACATTCTTTGTGCTACTTAGATATGTTGTAAAAAACTCTTCTAGTAAGAAATACTGTGATAATAAAGTGGTGTATCAATTAAAATGTTATTACTGTTAGTTCCTTTCTGTGAAGACCCTTGCAGAAAGATGATTTACACTGAGAGTCATTAAAGTGTAAGGTTGAGATTGCTGCTCTTAATTCCCCAAGGTTCTTGAACCAGCACTTGCCCTCTCACATCTTTTTATTACAGGTCGTTGACTCTTCCAACAATTTTCTATTGGCAGATAGGTTCTTAGATATGCCGAACTGTTCTGATCCATTGATCAGAATCAATCAAAATTCCAAGTACATTTGTTTTTTAAAGGTGCCAAGAACCAATAAAAGCTCAATGCAGTACTTAAAATAGTCCTACAAGGAGAGAAGCAGAATATATCTTCCTTTCCATAAAAATCCCTAAGTCCCAATGAACATTAAAAAACTGCTAAAAAGTGCTGGTGGTTGACATTGGCTGTTAAGAGGAAAGTCAGACTTTGCATCTAGAAATGATACTTTAACCATTTTTCCTTTCAGGTTCAGAACAACCAGCCTTCTTGGAGCTAAACAGACAGAATTAATTCTCTTAAGTAAAAAAGAGCTGTTAATTTTAATTGACCATTCTATGCCCAAACCACTTTATATATTTGGTACTTTTGTCTTTCAAACTTGGCCTCACTCTGGCAGGCTTTCTCAAGGGTGTTCAAAGAAGAAATTGATAAAAAAGAATTTTGAAAACTTGTAGTGAAAAGAGTTTTAAGTGAGTTAGGTAGATAGACATCCATATTGATTGACTGATAGAAAGCCATATTGATTTGTATTACTTTAACCATCAAGGAAAGTTTGTGTTATGGAGACTGACTTTTGGACATACTCCGAGCACTGGTACTTTTTGTTGTCAAAGATTCAGTGGTACAGCTGATTCTTTTGCTTGCAGACCAAAGAATGTTTGGGTGATTTCATTCCTTTACCTTAACAGTGACATTAAACTACAGTTGCCATAAACAGGTTTCTAATAGTCTCCATACTACAGATAAATATTGAATGCCATGAGCTGCTATTTCTGGAGATGTATCCTCCAGGTCATCATTTCAGTTCTGTTTACAGCATGACACGGGGAAACGTTGGTGTTACTGCATGGATAATGATTATATTTTGCATTTATGCACCGTGCTCCTCTGAACTACACTACTTCAGGGTATTCGTGGTATTTCCCATATTAGTTAAAGAATACATCTATAAGCTTTTTGGCATAAAAAAATTATGCATGATTAGTATAATTCAATAGTTACAGGACTGCATGAATTGCAAACACTGTGTATAGCAGGTATGCTAACATGACTAAAAGTTCTTCACGCAGCTAGAAAATCCAGATATTTTTATCAAAAACTGTCTAAAAAATTAAAAGATCTTTTGACTGCTTACATTAGGTGTCAACTTTAGAAGCCTCTTGTCAGTATCCAGAAATACCCTAAAAGAGGTTGAGAGTTCACTGATCTTTCTACCAAAATCCTTTATGGACTAAATGTTACAAATACAGAATCACTGGAGCAAGAGAGAAGGAATATGCTCCGATTATGAACTGCAGAAATTTAATAATGTTGATAATATTTTTTTCTTCTTCTGTTGTGTCTTTGGGACTGTAACATGGTAATGTTCTTTGGGATGTTTTCCCTGGGCGATTCACTATAGAAGTACCCAATTTAATAAAGCAGACCTATTGTCAAGTGCAAACCTGGTTCCTTGAACTAATTATACTCCCTGCATATAGTTATCAATTCTGCATACCAGGAATTATTCAGAATTCACAGAGAGAAGTATAAATTGGTATCATTTTTGGCTATAGTTCATCCTCTTTTTCCATCTGCTGAATGTGGAACGTGCAGTGCATATTTGTTGAGACTGTTGTGGGTATGTGGACGGTTGTAACGGAGCTTATCCCATGCTAAGGGAGACAGTAATAGCATTTTATGGAGACAACCACAGCATCAGAGGTCTGTGTTCCCTTTTCACTTTGAACTTGGATGGTTGACTGTTGTTTGTCATCCTGGTAGAGTTTAGTTTTCCTCTATTTTTGTGTGTTTTTTTCCACGCTGAAATGTATTTTCATTACCTTTGTCACCCTAAAAACATAAGCTTTTTCAGACTGTTATGTTACAAATCCTTTTTTTTTTTTTTTTTTCTTGTGATTGCAGTTGTTTCTTATCCTTACTGCTGGTAGCTGCTGTCGTTTGGAAAATCAAACAAACCTGTTGGGCTTCTCGACGGAGAGAGGTATCAATAACTTTAAGATTATTGTGGTAGCTTTTCTTTCAGAATAAATTGAGAGAATTTGTTGAACAATTACATCTCCACTTTCTCCTGTATATACAATTTAAATATCCCTCTAAACTTTTTTTTTTTTACCTTGGACTTTTTTATGCTGAAGAAAACTATTTTTCTTCCTCCTGTCAAAAATTAAAGAAATTGCAGCACTAGGTTGCAGAAAGATAAATTTTCTTTATGGTGGAATATTTAGAACAGAATAGAGTATAATATTTCAGTTGGAAAGACCCTACAATGATCACCTACTAGAACTGCCTGACCACTTCAGGGCTAACCAAGAGCTAAAGCATGTTGTTAAGGGCATTGTCCAAATGCCTCTTGAAAGCTGACAGGCTTGTGGCATCGACCACCTCTCTAGGAAGCCTGTCCCAGTGTTTGACCACTCTCTCTGTAAATAAATGCTTCCTAATGTCAAATCTGAACCTCCCCTGGTGCAGCTTTGAGCCATTCCCACACGTTCTATCTCTGGGTCCCAGGAAGAAGAGATCAGCACTGCCCTCCCCACTTCCCCTCCTCAGGAAGCTATAAGACAGCAATGAGGTGGCCCCTCAGCCTCCTTTTCTCCTAACTAGACAAGCCCAAAATCCTTAGCCTCTCTTCATAGAACATTCCTTCCAGCCCTTTCACCTGTTTTGTTCCTGTCCTCTGCTGCTGTCCTGAACGGACACATTCAGGGACCTTAACATTCTTTTTAAATTGCACTCCCCAGAGCTGCACACAATACTCAAGGGGAGGCTGAACCAATGGTAATACAGCGGAATAATCACCTCTTTTGACCATCTGGTTATACTGTGTTTAATGCATGCCAATACTCTCAGTAGTCTCAAAATAGTAGCGCAAAAACATTGCTAAGTTGGGTGG